ACTATTCGCAGCATTTTGAGAGTTTGGGGGGTGACTTTAACAAAGACACCACTGAACAGCTTCTTCAGGCGAAGTCTTGCAATGGTCTTCTGTACAAGTGAACTCACCCCGTTAATACTTTGGAGGCGGACAACGAAGGCCAAGGAATGTGCATTAGGTGCTTCCAAAGCGTGAGGTTTCACTTCGAGTCATTTCACATGCACCTCGTTCCGCCGCTGCCGCCAGGAATCATGAAGGAAAGATTCCAGTCGCTTAAATCTGACCTCCTTTACCTTCCTCTCTTTCTTTGCCAAAAGTGCCTGCTTTGCCTGGGTGGCTTTGAGGGCTTGATAAGCCTTCCTCTTTTTCAGGAGATTTTCTGGAACCAAGGGGATCTTTTTTCTTTGCTCTTCTTCCGCCATCTTTCCGGTGTAGGGCTACTCAGAAAAATGATTAATAATTAGGTACTCTTTTTTTTTTCTTCACCAAATGCCTTCAGGGCAGGTTTGGCTGGCTTGAGTTGTAGGGATCGAACCACAGCAACCTGAGCCTGACTGCTTTGCTGAAGCAGCCACTTAAAGAACTGAGCTAAGGAGCAGGCCCCCAATAATTAGGTACTCTTTGCTCATCTAAGAATATCAATACATGTCCTATAAATATGGCACCTGCGTAGGCATGTACATCCGAGTGTGTGTGTATGGGTGTGTGTGAGCATCATTTTCTGGTTTCAAACTTCAGAATCTGGTCCTAGGTAGTTAGTCACAGAATAGCAAGCCATCACGGAGACTTTCCCTGACCCTTTTCTACCATTCTTCTTTACAGGTGCTCCCTGAATTAGTTACGTGATGGCCTTTCCACGCACACCCACGGCTATTTAAGAGGAAATAACCTTCCCTATTGCAAAACGTGTGTTCTAATTCAAAGTGAGAAATGGGACTTGGAAAGTCAAAGATCACGTTTAACTTGCCTCACCTGACATCTCCACAGCTAAATCATTTCAGGAAGGAAGAATTTTTCTCTAAAAGCACAAAAAAATCTTGCCCATAATCAAGATATAAAGGACACAGAACATATGCCAGGAGATAAAAAAAAAAACAAAAAAAAAAAACCAAATGCTCCTTTTGCTGTTACCATCTTTATTTTCCTCCAGTGGAAATGCAATTCACGGACAAAAAGCAGGATAAGAACACAAGGAAATACTTGGACACATTCACTTACAATTTTATTACCCCTAGTTACCAACTTTACTTCTGTCTTGGATAACTGCTTTAAAATCTGATGTTTTGGGGGCTGGGGAGATGGCTCAGTGGAATAAGCACTTCCCTGGCAAGCGCAAGGGCCTGAGTTCAATACCCGGTTCCACAAAAAAAAAAAAAAAAAAATCTGATGTTTTCTCTAGAATCAATTTAAAATTCCATTCTGTGTCTCCAAATCATCACAGTGAAAAACATGAATAAAGACATTCAGCACTCATGAAGAAAGAGCTCACCCAACTTGCTTCTCCTTTTGAGGCCCCTGCTGATGGATTTTATCTTGGTATTAGGAATAATGTCAGTGTTGATAACCTCCTTAGATCTCTGTAGGAAACCAAGATAGATGTTAAGATAGCTTTCCATTCCCCTGTGGAATATTTCCTAAGATGCTCTGACAAGTATAAAGAACAAAAGTGACCATCAAGTGAGATTATATTAAACCTCATGTTCTGGCTCATCTTTATGTTGCTTTTTCATTTAAAAAAAAAAATCTCTGTTCCTAAAATAGTCCTTGAACAAAGTAATCATCACTAAGTGTCTGCTACATGAATGAACTTTCAAGGCTTTTTCACACCAAACCAACCCACAAGTCAAATTTACTCCATTTTGTTTCTATGTAAGACCGCTCTGGTACTATAGTGATCTGTGTTTACTGTAACTGCTGATGTCTGACCTACATGCAGTTTAGTCTCAGTGTTCTTTCCCATGTTTTAACATTACTGTAAAACTTTCAATTCTGAAATTAAAAAAATTATTTCTTTTTATTTTTAATGTAAATTCCAGAAGTTTGGGATGATTAAATGGTTAGGATAATTCATACCAAAGTCTTCAATTCCAACTGCTCACTCTCAATCTGATTTGCAAATTTCTAAGCAAGGATGGCCACCCAATTTGGGCTTTCTACAAGTGATAAAAATATACTCATTCCTTGGGAACTAAGCTACAGACCAAGCTTCAGCTGTAATTTTTAAAACATAGGAAAACTTAAAAATGACCTGTTACTTACTTCTGTCACATTGTGGCAGGAAGTGCAGTAATATTTGCCTTCATCAGTGAGGCCCCAAGACACAGCCGCACACAGAGAACAGCGCTCTTTCAGTTCTTTCTGCAGGACAAGGCAGCAGAAGGGTTTTCATTAAACCGTAATCCCAAAGCCTATAGTTCTTAGTCCTCTGTGCAAACTTCCCAGAAATTTCATACTGTATGTAAAAAATTCCCAGACAACAGAAAATAGATCAGAGACATATTGATCTGCAGACAAGAAACATTCAGTCTCTTGTGCAGGGTGAAACTGAATTAAACTATTGAGAAAATGTACCAAAATATGAAGAGTTTCAGGAGAAAAAGAAAGGCAAAAGTGATAAGGGGAAACAAATACACAACTCCTCAAAAGTGTTGCGAGGAAAAAAAAGACAAAATGTAAGTATACAGACTTTTTTTTTTTTTTTTTTTAAATGTAAGTATACAGACTTTTTTTTTTTTTTTTTTTAATTTAGGTTTTTTGAGGCAGCATCTTATGTAGCCCAAGATGGTCTTAACACAGGACAATCCTCCCGCCTCAGCCTCAAGTGCTAGGATTATAAGCGTGCACCACCACACCTGGCTCAGACTTTAACATTAAATGGCCACTTTGAAATTTCAGTATGAGACTTTAGAAGATATGCTTACTCCAAAAGAACTAGATTTTTAAAATCTATATTGGTATACTTTTGACATAAATAATAATCACATTCATCATAGAGAACTTGTATACAACTTATCTTTCCCCCTCAATTCTGGTCCCTTCCTTTTAATCCGTTCCCTCTCCCTTTACACAACTTTGTTTCTATTTTCATTGCTTTTCTTCCATTCTTTTGAGGAACTAGATTTTTTTTTAATTTTATATTTACATACACACATTTGACCTTTTTCCCCCATAATTTTATTGAGAAACAAATAGTAATGAGACAGTTTCAAAAGGAACTAGATTTTTATTAAAGTTGTTTCAAGTTCTGATTTATTTATTCAGCTGTAGAAAGAATGTCAACTATGTGTGTAGCAGACATTTTACCAGGTCCTGGGGATTATATGTGAGCTATATAATTATTAATTTCTTGATGTTTTTTTTTTTCCTCTCTCTCTCTCTCTCTCTCTCTTTTTTTTCCTTTTTTTGCAGAACCAGGGATTGAACTCAGGCCCTTGCCCTTGCCTGGCAAGTGCTTATTCTACTGAGCTATCTCCCTGGCTCCTGACAGGGTCTCTCTTATGTAGTCCAGGCTGGCCTCCAGCTTGCTGGGATCCTCCTGCCTCAGCCTCCCCAGTGCTGGGATTACAGGCGTGCATCACCATGTCCAGCTAATTATTAATTTCATATTCAGTACTTAGACATTAGTTATCCGCTACTGAATTAACCTTTTGTTTGTGCTTTATTGAGACAGGGTCGCACTATGCAGTTCAGGCTGGCCTTGAGCTCCCTTAGTAGCCCACGCTGGCCTCGAATTCCCAGCGATCACCCTGCCTCAGTTTCCCAAGTGCCTGGATTACAGGAGTGCACTGCTACACCCGGCTACCGAATGAACCTTTACTGAAAAGTTCCTACCAACTTGCCACCTCCATCCTGTTCGGTACACACACAGGACCAATTCTCCAACTCTCATCTCTCTGGTCTGACTTCCTGGTACCACTTCTCTTAATTACCAAATACTCAACATCATTTAAGAAGGCTGCATTTTATGCAGTATGTAACAATTGCCTGTCGGATTTAATTTAAATAACTTCGTAAAATTTCTAATGATCCCTTGACGACGCTAATGATAACGGACATCTTGGGTAGTTCCCAAGCCCGAGTTTAGGAATCTCCGCGCAAGAGGAGGCCAAGATTTCCCGAGAGACTCAGGGATGCCCGGGGGCCTTCTGGGTTCTAGCCCCGGCCCCCCACATCAAAAGGAATTTGTGGGTGGTCCCGTGAAGACGGGCGAGCCCACGTGGGTGGCCACCCACAAACCCACAGCTCCGCCTTCCCTCACGGCAACCTCGCCGAGCCAGAAACTCCAGCGTCCTTCCCCAAGCCGCTCTCCTCCCGCCGCTGCCCGCCCCTAGCCCGCCGGCGTCCTTCTTACTGCCTCCTCCAGCTCCATCCCGAAGGCACCAAGATGACGCCCCGACCCGTTACCCGGGCAGCGGACGTGACTTTCCGGAGTGCGGGGAGGAGCCCTCCGGTCGGAAACTGGAACTCTGGAAGTTAGGTTCCGGACTCTCTTGACTGCAGGGCACCTACCGCTTGCTCTCCCGCAAAACTCCACAAATTCTGCACAAGCGCCCACCCGCTATCGCGTTGCTTTCTCGGTTTTGGTAACTAAAAGCAACCAATCCACTGTTGGGGTGGGGTGGGGGGCGTCCAGGACAGAGTAGGGCAGTCCCGCACTGTTCTGATGGTGGCTCTTACTGTATTTTTAAAAATGTATTTGTAAAGGGTTAACAGAGTTTTGTGCCTTAACTGTGAAAAGTTATAAAAACCCCTTGTGCTTCCTGTTATCTACTCTAAAAAATATATTCTCCCTTCTGGCTCAAGGCTGCTCAGCAATAAATAACTGTTTCTTGTCAAGACAGCAAGCTAACACAAACTCCCTCCCCAACCATCTCCTATAAGGTAGTCAGCTTAAGATATATTTTATAAAAATATACACTTATCACTAAGCTATAAAAGACCTTTTAGTTATAAACAGCTTACAGCTGTGTCAAATAAATATAGTTTCTGTTGTTCTGTACTAGATAACAAGTTTGCTTACCAAACTGGATGTGATTTCTGTTATAAATACCCCCTTGCTACCGACTTCCGGGCGATCAGCCTTCTCCTGCGAGAGAAGTGGCTGACGGACCTGAGCTCAGTAAATAAAAGGCTCTATTCAAATTTCTATCTGGCTGATCTGGTTGCTATGCAGAGCTGACCCATCACATTTGGGGGCTCTTCCGGGATCCCGTTTATTGGGGATCAATCATAGGAACCAGAGTCCTTGGAAACCATTTCCCCGGGACAGTGTCCAAAAACTCATAAATCTATCATTGGGACTGACTAGACCGAGCCATATGAAATGTGTCTGTCCTGTGGGGCGCCCCCTCTGAGAGTCCTAAGAGGTGCTGCACGCAGCGATAGCCTCCGGGCGCCACTCCTTTCCGTGAGGACGGGTTGGAGTCTCAGGTCTGTTTCTGTTTCTTTTTTGTGTGCTTCAGCCGATTGTCGTTTGTCTGTCTGATAACCGTGGGTCAGTGTGCTTCTGCTTCTGTGTTGCCTTTGCAATGTATTCTTGACCATTTCGAGGAATTCTGATGGCGAGCTGCTCACTACGGAAACCTTGTCTCCCCGTACAGGGTCTAACTACACAAGTTCTAACTCGCAGTGATCTTCCTGTTTTCAGCCTCCCAAGAGCTGGGATTACAGGCCTGCGGCACCACGCCCAGTCTCAATCCCCCGGTCTCAGCGCACCTGGGAGCCCAGTCTCAATCCCCCGGTCTCAGCGCACCTGGGAGCCGGGCCAGCAGGGCACGTAGAGCCAGGGATTGAACCACAGTCCCTGCATCAGCCAGAGCAGGCGCATTAATCCACTGAGTTACCTAGCCCGCCTAGCTCTTACTGTGTTTTTAAAGGCAAGACCTTGAGGTTTAGAGAGCGCAAGTTGGTAGTCCCAGCTGAATTGCATAATGAAACCCTCAAAACATACACACACACACACACACACACACACACACACACACACAAAATTGGGTTAAACCTAGATTTTTAATCAGTTTTTTTGCTTACTTGCGCCCCAATTTTCTCCTTTATAAAAATTAGATACTTGTCCTGTATAGTTGAGCTTCACGGAGTAAGGCTCAATAAATTTAGCGTTGACAGACTACAGAATAGGGTTTTTGTATTCATTATTATTATTATTTGTTTACTAATTAATATTATTATTATTAGTTCACTACTCCTTGGATAGAGCACTAATATCTAAAATACACAAAAAAAGTCAAAAAGAGACCCTCCCCGAAAAAGACTGGCTCAAAAAAAAATGTGCAATTGAATAGACACTTCTCAGAAGTCCAATGGCCAATAAATACTTGGAAAGAATTCAACATCATTGCCTTTTGGGGAATGCAAATTAAAACAACAGTGAGACTCCACTTCAGTACAGAAAGAATGGCCACCACCAAGAACTCAAATAATAGCAAATGCTGTGGAGGCTAGGGGAGGGGGAATAGGAGCTCTTCTGCACTGTGGGTAGTAAACTAGCACAACTACTATGGAAATCAGTATGTATATGGCTGAAAAACAAACAAACCCTGAAACTAGAAAATTCATTCAGGGCCAGCGAGATAGTTCAGCAGACTAAGTACCTGCTTTGGCAATTGCAGGGTCCAGGGTTTGATCCCCTGTCCTGCATGCTGCGCTGGCCCCACCTCCACTGAGCTGTGATGGAGTCCAGGCATGGTGGTGCACACCTGTAATCCCAGTGCTTGGGAGGCTGAAAACAGGAGGATAACTATGAATCTGAGCTGTGTAGTGAGACCCGGTGTCAAATACATAAGTAAAAAAAGAAAGAAAATCTATTCCATCCAGCTAGTCCCCTTCTAGGTTTCTTTCTGCAGGGTTAAAGACCCTGTGTGCATCATATTACAGTGATCCATGCACACCCATGTTTATAGCAGCACAATTCATAACAGCTATGAATTGGGCCGGCGAGATAGCTTAGCGGTCTAAAGCACCTGCTTGGGCAAGCTTAGTCAAGTGCAGGGACTGTGGTTTGATTTCATTACCGCATACTGCACCAGCCCAGCCCCTAGGGCAGGCTGAGCCAGCCAGCCAGCCAGCCAGCCAGCCAGCCCCCCCACCCCCACGCACACACAATGATGATGATGATGATGATGATGATAGCTGTGTCTTGGAAGCAGCCTGTATGTCTATCAACAGATGATGAATGGATGGGCCAGGGAGATGGCTCAGTAGAATAAGCGCTTCCCTGGCAAGCGCAAGGGCCTGAGTTCAATCCCCGGTTCTGCCAACCTCCCCGCAAAAAAAACCCCAAAACAGATGATGAATGGATAAAGAAAATGAGTGCTACTCTGCCATAAAGAAGGATAAATTTGAATCATTTGTAGGACAATGGATGCACCTTGAGACTGTAATATTAAGTGATATAAATCAGATACAAGCACAAATACCACAAGATTTCTATCATAGGAGAAACCCAAAGTATAAATAATTTAAGGAGAAAATAAAAGATAGATAATAGGAGAATAGGTCTGTAAGTGGGAAAGGGAACTAGAGATGGCAGAGGGGAGGGAGGGAAAGACAGAGGAAAGTAAAAACGCTAGGCTTTGTTCTGTGTGTGCACCAGCAGCCCAGTATGAATGCGATTGCTGTGCACGGCAAATGTGTGCTAATAAATGTAGAGATCAATCCAGCTCTTGTTTCGCTGCTGAACACACATACTCTTTGTTCCCTCTGTTAACAAGGAAGTGGTTTCATTCTTGGGGAATCAGCAGGGAACAGAACAAAATACACATCTCTACCCCTGAGAGGATTATACAGGACAATGATAGCGAGGGACAACACACCAGGAGACTATATGGTGTGTTAAATGGTGCTGAGTGCTAAAGAAAAAGTATGGGAGAAAGGGAGGGATAGGATGTGGCTTCAAACAGAAATGGAGTAGTGAAGGAAGGTCTCAGTGTAGCTGGGTGTGGTGGCGCATGCCTGTGATCCCAGCACTTGGGAGGCTGAGACAGGAGGATTGCCACAAGTTTGAAGCCAGCCTGGGCTACATAGTGAGTTTAAAACAGGCCTATACTGCATCCCAAGATCCTGTCTCAAAACACAAAGAATAAAAGAAAAAATGAAATTGATGCTATAAATTTAAAAAAAAAAAAAAACTCTGAAAAGAAAATTTCAATTTTACAGCCGGTGGTAGCAAATAGCTATAATCCCAGGACAGGGGAGGCTGAGGTAGGAGTGTCATTGCTTAAATCTAGGAGGTAGAAAGCAACTGCCTCAAAAAATTTTTAATTAAAAATTTTAAAATGTTTAAAGATCTAAGGAAGTGGAAGAACCCTGATTTCAAACTACAGTACAAAAGAAAAAGAAGAGGAAGAAGAAAAGGAAGAGAAGGAAGCAGGAGAAGAGAAGAAAAAAAAGAAAGCTTCCTTTCTTTTCACAGGCTCTTTCAAATAATGGAAAGAGAGAGCGCTAGCCAGTGTAGCTCATGAGGCAGACACAACCTTGACCCCAGAGTCTGACATTTGAAGACAAGTTGTGGTTTCCTCACAATGCCTACACTGCCCCTTCCAAATTCTGCTTTTATCTTGCTTTTGCTTTTACTTGGCTCAAACTCACTCCAGAGAGTCACTTTCTTCCTCACTCTACATTTTTGCTTTTTCAGATATACTTGACCACTTAAAAAAAAGAAAAGAAAAGAAAAGAAAAGAAAAGTCAAAATTGGTGGCACCACATGCATGTAATCCCTGCACTTGGGAGGCGGAGGCAGGAGGATAGATGCGAGTTCAGAGCCAGCTGAGCTACAAAGTGAGTTTGAGACCAGGCTGGACTACACAGCGAGGAATAAGGTTGTTTTTTTTTTTTGTTTGTTTGTTTGCTCCGAATGCCTTCAGGGCAGGTTTGGCTGGCTTGAGTTGTGGAGATTGAACACAGCAACCTGAGTCTGACTGCTTTGTTGAAGCAGCAACTTAAAGAACTGAGCTAAGGGGCAGGCCCTCCTGGACTACACAGCGAGACCTTGCCTAATTTAAAAAAGAAAGAAAGAAAGAAAGAAAGAAAGAAAGAAAGAAAGAAAAGGGGGAAAAAAAAAGAGACAAATTCTCTTATGGTTTGTGTCCAGTTGTCCCCCCAAAGCCTCGTGTAAGTCATAGGGGAGACTTCTAGAGTTTGTGATTAATTTATGATCCAAGGATGGGATTATGGGTCTGAGTACTGCTGGGATTATGGGTCTGCATACTTATGGGATTATGAGTGTGAGTGCTACACCCAGCCTGGAGTGATAGCCTGAATGTAACGTAGGAGAGACAGAGAGACAGACCTGCTCTTGGTGGCATTGTTGTTGCCGCTCCCCTCCCTTTGCTCTCTTGCTCTTTGCCACCGCCAGGAAAGGTTGCTGTCTGCCATGTGCCGCTCTACCT